AGATATCAAACTAACATTTTTCTTTTATTAGTCACTCTTTTTCGCCCACTTTCAAGACAGCCATTAGTTGGTTTGCTGCAACCTTTTTACCACTCTACAAATGTTAAATTATTGACTGCTTCCGAATGCCATGCGTTTAAACTAGGTCAACAAACAACTTGACCCAAAAAGTCCATTTCTCTCCTTTACAACCAAAAAAATTTCCCAGACACGTTGCCTTAAAAATCGTCCCCAACATCTAGGTGTGCACACAGTAATAGTGAGTGTGTGCTTTGCCTGAATGCCTTGACATTTCATTGAATAGCTGCGGCTAGTTTCCATGACAACACTGACTGAAATGAACACAATGCATGCTTGTCTGTCTGTCTGTGTGTGTGTGTGTGTCAATGCCGCTGCCGCTTGGGTCTAACTGACTGAGACTGAAAACAGCATCTTGTTCTATTCAACCTCCAGCCAGGATCAAATTTAGAAATGTGTAATTGAATTTGGACGAGAGTCAGAGCAGAACACTATCTCCTGCGGACATGTAGACACACACAGGTGTATAAATAAATACACACACAAACATGCACAAAGAATGCACACGTGTTGGTAAATATTGTACAGGACACTTTCATAATACAACAGAGCTACAATGTCATTTCAGGACAATTTGTGCAGTAGCACCTGGCTCCTTGGTAGCCCAAAGGTTTTGTGTCTGTACCATCACAGTGACAAGGAGCCTATGTGCGCAGTAACATTTAGTGGATGGCTGAAATCTCACCTGAGCTGGACAGACCAGGCTTTCAAAACTCAAGTTACATTTTCTGAAGACAACACTGATATGATGATAGTGTGATTGTAATACAACTCTTTCATGTTTCAGATTGTGGGATATTTGTTCCTTTATCATATGTCTTTGTAGCTGCACTATATGTCAACAAGCTCCTTATAATAATGACAAAGTACACAACTCGACGCCACAATAGTCAGGACAATGGTGGTTTAATATAAAAAATAAAAATCATTCTTCTCATCCAAGTCTTGGCAAAAAAGGAAAGAAGGTTTGTAAATAGCATGAAAAGGCCTCTTGTTCACAATCCAAAACTAAATCCAGAAAGAATAAAAGGTGCTCTTAAGTTTAACTGAAACAAAAATATAAAAAATACTTGAGGCACTCTTAGGTGGAGCAAGAAACATGTTTAAAAGCCTTTATTTAATCTGCATTTTTACAGAGTTGCTTGATTATATAAAAACTTTTAAACGTGTTCCTTGCTCCACCTAAGAGTGCCTCAAGTATTTTTTCCATTTTTCAAATTTTTAAGATTTGTAAACAGTCAAACTCTTCCTTTAAAATAAATAATAAATAAAGCATGTTCTGTTTTCCAATCCATACACAAACAGAAATGTAAAAATGACAGGATGTGGTAGTGGGAGTCATGTTTTCTAACTATTCCTTTGGCAAACAGCAGCTGGGAGTAGAGCTGCAGCATGGGTGCACACATAGGGAAGGGATAGTTGCAGATAACAAAACCAGGTTAGTTGCCCCCCCCCGTTGCTAAACTAAATTAACTCCTGGCTCTAGCTCCAGATTTATTCAACAGTCGTGTGTAAAGGTCAATCAGAATATTCCTCAAATATTTGTCCAAGCTTAGGAAGCTGAAAGTAGCTGATTTTGCTTAAGAAAAAAAATTGATACTCACTGTTAAAGGTGAGATTTTTTTTTAACAAGTCTCAAAAAAAGCATGCATTTCCACACCCAGAGCTCTACACCAGGATGCACAATTCACCCTGACAACCTGCCTCTCTTGGATCTGCTTCTTTTAATTTTACATTAGTCCTGTGTCATGTGATGTTGTCAGAACTTTAGACCGTCTTTTCTGTGCAAGACTGAGTAAACTGGTGAGCGCCACAAAGTCCAATAGACAGTGCGGTGAACTAAAGTGATCATATGATTTAGCCCTTAGTGTGAGTGTAGAAGAGGCAGAGATCACTTGTCTGTGCGGTGTGAGGGTCTATGTGGCAGACTGTATGTGATACTAGAGAAACTGCATCCGTTTACTGGGTCATCATGCCTCTGGATGCTGGTAAGTGTGTGTACATCTCTGTCTAGCTGTGCTTTGGGACTTCTATTTTTATGAGGACC